TTTTTTTTTTTTTTTTTTTTGCGTGAGCGCTTAAGCTATGATTATTGTTGAAACTAACGGTATCAGAATTTATAAGATTTTTTCTTTTAGAATTTTAACGATGGAAACAGTTCTGGAAACGCAGCGTCGTCTTCATGAAGAGAGAGATCGCTTAATAGATAGTATGACTAAGGAATTTTTACACGAACGAAAATCGGTAGTTTCAAAGGCTCACTAATTTCATGTTGTTGCTACTGTTTTTTGGATTGTATAACAATAGCTCTTTTTCGCTAAATTTTCAAATGGCTGGGTTATTTTTATGGTTAGAACTTCTAGATTTTTGACTCGCGGAATTTTTTCACTTTGGCATAAACAGTTTTTTTGTAATTACTTTGGGTTTTCGTTTTAGCACAAAGAGAGGATTAATGCGGACCATAGGGTTAGGACTCTTGTGCAGGTTTGTTTCAAGGAAATTTTATTCTTTGTTTGACCAAGTACTAACTGTTTTGCTTGCGGATGTTAGTTTTAGAACAATTTCATCTACGTCTTTTAGAGGTTTCAAAACACAACTACGAAGCTTCGTGAGTTATACGAAGATAAAGATAATGTACGCTCAGAAGAATTAAGAGCTATTGCTGGGCCCAACGAATTTGCAGAGTTTTATTCTCGACTGAAATCATTGAAAGACGCTCATCGGCGCAATCCTGATGAGGTTACGCATTATGATACAATTTCCACAAGGATTCTTTACTTATGAACTTTTCGTTTGTAATACCTCCAATTCAGTACTATCTTTACCCTCTTATAAACTACTCGAATGAATAGAAAGTGTATTTATAATTTACAGAAGTAGAAGAATGCAAATACGGATAGAGATTGCGGAGTATAGCGGAGTATATTATACTGTTCTGGCTGAAAAAATATTTATCTTTACATATTATTTGCAGGTTGCTGTTCCTCTTTGTCTGGAATTTCAAAAGATGAATGAAGCTATAGAGGATATCGAAGCTGCTGAACGTGATCTTGTCGAATTTACCGATGAGGAGGCGTATGGAAGGTTTTTAGATATGCATGCGTTGCATACTAAGTATTTGAATATAAAAGGAGTAAAGGTAAGTTTCAGCTGCTTTATAACATTGGATTATGGTGGCACATTAGACTGACTTATGTTTTGTGGTTTGGTGGGACTTTTACTTACCGGCTTCTGACAGCTAAGTTCTGATTAGATCTATATAGGAGAGATAGTGCTATGTTCCAACAATTTTTTTATAATACCTCCGCTTCTGCTCATTAAGACTTGTACTTTTTTGAGCATAAAGTATTATTTATTTGTCAGGGTTCATATACAATTTCATTTCATTGAACCACAGCAAAGCTGTTTCATGTGCCACCAATCAGCGACAAGTGTAGTGTAAAGGAGTTTTATAATGATCTTTCTAAATTTTTCAATTTTTGGTAATTTTAAAATGAACATGTCGAGCTGAATAGATCAAAAAGCTGATGTTCTCCAGTTTATAATACTCCTTAGGTACGAATTAAAACTTTATTGTAACTAGTTACTTTACTTTTATTTCTTTTCAGAAAATTGATTACCTCACTTACTTAAGTCAGTTCGATCGCTTTTCCGATATTTTAATGTCTTCTAAAAAAAGTGGTTTTTATCGAGAATACCTCATTGAGCTTAAGAATTACTTAGTTGATTTTCTTGACCGGACGAGGCCTCTTCATGATGTTAACGAGACGTTTGCAAAAACTGATGCAGAATTTGAGAAAAAGTGGGAGGAAGGTATAGTAAGAATTTCTTTTGTGTTTCTAAAATTTGAAACTGTTTTGTTTTTCCTATATGTTTATCTTTGTTTCTGAGAAATTTTATTTTATTTTTAGCAATTCTTAGATGTAAAACCGTCATGTTTTTGTTTTGAAAGTTGCTTTATAGTTCTGCTTAAGGAAGCAATGTATACCACTGATTTGCAGTAATAGTTTGTAAATTTTACAATTAATCATTAATTTCTTCTTTCTTTAAAGTATTTCAGTTTCATTTTATAGTTTATTCAGGATTTTTTACATGTCTTAAGTCATTCTTTTACTTTTCCAGCTTCAATACCGGGATGGGGTAAAGAGCATCATGGTGCTTTGACGCATTCTGGTGCTTTTTTGGATCTGTCATCTTTTAATTCTGCTGCGGAACTTGAAACCTTGGGTTTAGATCGCTTAAAATCTGCTCTATTAGCTCTTGGATTAAAATGTGGAGGGTAAGAGAATTGGCATTCCAGTTAACCCCACTTTTTAGTTATTTGTTATCTTTTAGCATTTGATTATGTTTCAACGAAGGGCTTTTTCTCACATTATTTTTGAAGATATGCAATTTAAATCTGTAGATTTCATGCTAATATGTGAAACTTTTTACGGCAAAGGTCACTTTGAATTACATTTGATCCTTTTGAATGCAACCGTTTTGGTCTATAAATACTGTAACAGTTCTTATTTGGATGTTTCAACAGTTTTACATTCTGTTTTTCCGTGGTGAATTAAGGTTTTTAATGACGAGATATTAAAGGACATTAAAAGAGAGGGCTGAAAGATTGTTTGCAACTAAAGGTCACAAGCTCAGTGAGATGGAAATCGAGGCTTTGGCTAAAAAGAAGGACGTGGAACTGAAGGAGAGAGCGAGGATGTGTGAAACTGCAAGAATAGAAGCTTATATTCAAAGGTTTGTGGAACTCGTTTTTTATAAAATTATTATTGCACAAACAAATTTAAATTGTTGTTTTGAGTTCGATTTTTTTTTTACTTCTCGCTTTGGAGTTTTCCTGTCGATTTTCTGTATTAGGCTGTTAGAAACATAAATATTATGATAAATATTATTTTAAGACTAGCCTCTATTCTAAACGAAGAGCGAGAAGGTACTAAAGAAAATGTGGAAAGAAAACAGGCCAGAGGGTTAGGTGAAAGCGTGGAGGAGGAGGAAGCCGAAGCTGATCTATCAGATGCGGAAGAAGATGATGCTATCCCGTATAATCCTAAAAACTTGCCTCTTGGTTGGGATGGGAAGCCAATCCCTTATTGGTTATACAAGCTTCATGGATTAAATATTTCATACCCCTGCGAAATCTGTGGCAATCAAGTTTATAAAGGACCAAAGGCCTTTCAGAGGCACTTCAATGTTAGTAACGTATAATTTAATTCCTTTTCCATTTTTATTTCGGATTAAATGTAGAGAATTTGCAAGTTTATTGGTAGTAGCTGCAGAATTCAATGTTTTAAAATGCTATCTTAATAATTGTACGTCTAAGAGACTAAGTTTATTCTTAAACGTATTATATGCAAATTATAAATAAATTTTTAAAGTATATTTTAGGCAAAATTTTGAACAGAAGCTTAATTCCGGTTATTTTCCCTCTGCATGTGGCATTTTCCAATACCTAAAATTTTATAGGAATGGAGACACTCTCATGGGATGCGATGCCTCGGTATTCCTAATACTGCACATTTTGCAAATATAACAAAAATTTCTGATGCTGTCGAGTTATGGGGGAAGATAAGACGACAGCGCGAATCAGTAAAGTGGAATCCCGAGCATGATGAGGAATTTGAAGACAGCGCAGGAAATGTTGTTAATAAGCGTACTTTTGAAGATCTAAAACGTCAGGGACTACTTTGATTTCTTTCGTTCTCTTTTTTATTTCTGCGTAAAAATCGTTTTTTCTCGGTCCTTCCTTTCACATTCGTTGTCTACATTGTGTGGGCAAAAATTTCTGAGACAGATCTACATTTGTACATTTTTCGGTTAGGATTGGTAACCTAGAATTTTTTTGGTTGAAAAAACAAAAAGTTGAATTTTAAAGATTTATGGTAATTTTTCATTGTTGACAGCGGCAGTGTTATTCAAAAGGTATCTCTTCACTTTCATTGAAGATTGTGTTGTTAGCTATCAAGAATTCTTACTGTAATGTGAAAGTCTTATTTTGTAGTAGGTGATCTCAGCCGTTGGATGTACGACAGTTGTATAGTCAGTAATGTTATTTTTTAAAGCGTTGCCCTCGTTATTTCACCAGATTTGTTGAATCAATAACAAGTATAGTCTGTGTTCTGCTTAAACCAAGTGCCAGAAGAATAAGGAGGACAAAGTAGTGGTGACACTGAAGAAGAAGGAAGTAGTGTGTTTTTAATTAACTGGGAAATTGAGTGTTTTTGCAGTACCACAGAAGTGTTGTTTAAATCAAATGTATCGTAGCAGGGAAATACAGCTTGGAAGTTGTGGGGAATGATGTCATTGTTGACGGTAAATCGGTAGCGGCGGATGGGCTTTTTTATCAATGAGTGTACTTCTGCGTATCTGGGTTTGCGTCGGGACTAAGTGCCAGGTGTCGGTGTACTGTGGTGCCTTCGTAGCTGCTTAATAGTCAGGCGTTTAAAATCAGATTGTTTCTCTCGCCGTTGCTTTTTCTTATTTGCTTAGCTGATTTTTAGCTCACTGTGGATGGCGGAACAAAGAAGGAAAAGAGGAGTGGCAAATTTACTTTGCTTTATTAAGAGCCAATTAAAATGCTGATTTTGATGGTTTTTTTACTGAACGGTCACGCGATTTTTGTGGGGTGAGTATTTTTAAAAAACTTGTTAAATTTAGCTGGTCCAAAATGCTTACAGAGATTTAAAAATCTATTTAGTTTTTTACCTGCATTTGCTTTTGATTTCCTGCATTTCCAAAAGCTCTTTATGTTCTAATTTTCCGACAAGTTTAAGACAAATTTCTGTTATGTTCTTTTTTACTCAGTTTTAAGACAATTTTTTTAATTTAACAGTGAGGTTCACTGAACTTATTTGCAGCAGTTGGAAGTACAGTGGAATTGGGCTGTATAGTGAGGCATTTTGAGTGCATTTATCTATATATATTGTCCTTGTTGGGGTAGAGCTGTATAATATTTGGTTGAAACTTATATACTTCATCATAAATAATCAAAATATTATACGATAAAAAGTGGCAATACTTATTAGCAGTTACTTTTTTTCAAGCAGGAAGATAATGAGTCAAAAGGGTAAAAAAAAGGACAAAACAATTGAAAACTGGAAACGATTACCGAAGAATCCGAAAAACCGGACTTTGTGTTTTGATATTTCGGTGTTGATGCAACCACTGTTAAACTGGTTGTCAGATTTTTAGAAGGAAGTGATACCATAATGATAGACCTACAATCGAGCTTCAAAATGTTAATTCTGCTAAATTGACGAATACAGTAAGTAAAATTTATTAAGCAGCTAACTTTTAACAGTATTTTTTAAAACCATTTTTTCCTAATTTATTTTGGCTATTAAATAATCTATTGAGAGAAGAAGAGGAAGATAAGAGTTTGAAAGAACTATTAAAAATTAGTGTACCGTAAATATGAGGAGGGAGTGGGTGGGATTGAGAGAAGGCATTGAAGGAAGTTGAATTATAACTGAGCTATCGTCATTTTATTGCTGTTACCATTGACATTAGCCATAGAAGTTTTTTAAGAAATATTCTAGTTAACTGTTCAATATCTTTTTTACTCTATTTTTGCGCACTTTTTTCCCGTTTTCTTTTTTTTTGTTTACTTATTATTTTTATTTGTGTTTTAACACATGTTTTTTTATTAAATAAAATCTAATTTTATTTTATTTTATAGTCTTTTCAACGATAGATTGTTTGAGACAGTATAGATAAGGCGTGGGGTTCGATTTGCTGAACAAATTTGTGACTTTATTTTTACTCTGTAAGTGATAAGAAATTTTTAATTTTGGAAATATTTTAATTTTTTAATCGGTTTAAAAGGGTAAAAAGAAGAAGAAGAAAAAATATGGTTTATTGGTGTGATGGTTTATTGAAGAAAATTTATTGCTGTTGGAAGAACTTTGAGAGTGTGACGAAGTAAAAACAAGTGAAAAAAAATTCTGAAACTATTATCAGCGTTAATTGAAAAATCTTTAGTTAAATTACCATAGCGGTTGCTGTGATAAACTGTTACAATTGTGAACGAAATGTGCAGTAGTTTTGTAGTTGTAATTAAAAGTTGACGTTCACTGTAGCAGACTTGTAAAAACGGAATTTTGTCAATGTCTGTTCATCTTTGAAAAATGAAAATTTTTTTTAAAACGAGGTCATAGGTAGTTTTTTTTACAAAATTAATAATAGACAACTGTCTTTATTTTTTTTTTTCTGCATATTTTTGGCACCTTAAAAGTGTCTTTTCACATTGAAGAGCTCAGAAGTAGTGTCATATTCATTTTGGTATTTGTTGCGGCAGTGATATCAAAGATTAGTGTATCATTCACTAACGTAAATAAACGATTACCATATAAGTTTAATCTCTTTTTTTTTTGTATTTGTTTCCTTTTTAAAGTTATCAGTTTGATTAATGTATTTTTAAATTAAAAGTTATTATTTTTGTTTTAGAATTTATAATATTACAACATTTTACAGTTACAGTTATAAATTCACCACTTGGATAATTGTAACTTTTTTTTTTGTTTAGTTGGCAATATTCTGAATAAAATAATAAATTGAAAGTTAAGTTATATTGGTTGAAAATTATTTTTTTATATTTATCTGTTTGAAAAAAAAAAAAAAGCAGAACTGTTATAATAGGGTGTAGAAGGATTTTTTTTTTTTTGCAAATTTTAGCTACTGTGAATATATTGGTGTCTAATCTGTTTTGCTAATTAAGAAACTGGTAACTGGCAAACAAAATTTGTTTAATGAAAAAATGGAGAAAAAAAAAAACCTGATTGATACTGTCATTATTTACAGTTAATCAAACAAAACACTCCAACTTCTTTATTTTCATTATTAATTTCAACAACGGTAACACTATGCGGAAGTTTTGATTTTAGCAAATCTTTAGACGTATAGTTGATTTGAAAAGAGGAAAAGAGAAAGGAACAAGAAGTGGAATGAATCGAGTGCTCTTCTGTTGTAATTAATTTTATAATATTAGTTGCAGTCCTGTTGTTAGAAAATAAACAGAAAATGAAAAAAAAAAAAAGAACGAGGAAAAAAAGACATCTTTTAATTTAAGAAACTCATAATAGCGATCAATTTGTGATTTGAAGCGAATAAAATACAGAGTTTACTTAGGAAAAAAGCAAAAACAACAATAAATGGTGATTTTGAAGAATAAAAAAAAATTTCCTAGAGACTTTAAAAAGATGAGGAAGAAATAAGAAGCAATTGGACAGTAATGTTAAGGTAACCTCAAAGTAATCCTGAAACCAAAATTTTCTATTCTGTACCATCCTTAGTATCGCAGTTGTTGTGGTTCGATCACTCAGTGTCACCGTCGTGAAAACTTCAACGAAGCTATTAAAAAGGAATTTTTCTGCGCTCTGTTTGCTTTCAAAAATTGCAAGAAATTTTTTTATCGTTTGCTGCAAAAGAAAATTAATGAGAAAGAGCGAAGAAAGATAAAATTTATGCTGCTTTAAGACCGTTATTAAATATTCAATCAAATTTTTCATAGATTCTAGTACTGGTTATGCTACAAATATAATTTTTTAACTTCTGAAATGTTTACAATAGATACTTTGTTCTCAATACGAATCTTTATTATGTACAGTCTGATGAATAAAATTTTTTTTATTCTTTTTATTTTATAATTCTCTCGTTTACAGTTATCAATGACTTCGTAATCAATATCCATTATCATCGTTATCAAAGCCATTACCAACAACAGCAACATTGTCATTATCATCATCGCTTGAAGAAAACTATGATTCTGAAAAAATTACGCAGTTACTCTAAACCGATTTGCCTTCTAACACCAATTCTAATCTTTTCTCCACTTCTTTTAAAGTCAAAAGTAAGTTATCAGCTAACCACTGTTGCATAGCGTTGAATTTCAATTGAATTTGTCAGTTTTTTAATGTTTATTTTTATTAGTTTTTTTTTTTCGACTAGGTAGGAAAACAGTTAAACTACCAAATCGGTTTTGTGCAAGTCAAAGGTTTGATTAGTGTGAATATAAAAGTTTTGGAAACGTTAGACGTTTTTGTAACTAAACATTTGGTACTGTAATTGTTGTTCTAGTTTGATAAATTGAAATTACCACATTGTTGAAGACTGCAACTAAAAAAAGCAAAATTATCAATATTATTTTTTTGTTTATTGTATATAAATTTGTTTGCAAGAGAACTTGTAATGCTTTATTTGTTGTATTATATCTGTTATATCAATGTTACTTAAATAATTTGCTATAGTTTGAAAAAAGAGAATTTGTAATAATTTAGCCATACAGATGCCTGTACGGTACCTTAATCATAATTACTTATTGGTTAACGGAGGTGGCACCGCTTCCAGTGACATCTTTACTTCCTGTCGTCCTATTTCCACTGTTAGGCGTCGCTTCAACTCCACAAATCTGTACTGCATACATGAAGGTTAATTTTTCATACTATTTACTTGAAAGAGGACAACAATTTTTTCAGAAGCTAAAATTGTAAAAATTTTTTAAAAAAAGTTTATTAACAATTTTCAATTTTTAAAAACCACTGTACGTTAATCGATAAGTTAAAAAGAAGTGATTTTTTTTGAACAGAGAAGGTTTCAAATTACGAACTCCAAGTAGAGGCTTACCTTTTCCTCTATTAACACAAAAGCTCTCAACTTTACTTTCCTTTAATTGTAGATTGATTTATATCTATCAAATAACTGAATTTTATCAGTAAAACAAATCAATATTTGAATAGTTTTTTCAGCTTATTTTGTAATATGTTACCACTTCTACAACAAATTTTTATTGAGGTCTTCGAGCAAAAAATAATAGTGAAGGTATACAAAAAAGTATATATATCAAGTGTCAATTAGATTATTTGATTTCATTGAAATTTTTGTTAATTCTGATTGATTTGTTCTGCTATCGATCACATTGCTTATACCTTTTAACTTTCGCTCATTTTCTTGGTCACGAACCTTCAATATAGTTCGTTCAAGTGACAGCTTTGGTGCTGTAACGGATAAAAGCATGATTTGATCGCTAAACCATTAGCGGAAAAGCAATTTGGATTTGAAATTGAAAAATTTTATTGAATCTTTTATGGCTACCTTTCTGTTATTAATATAAGTTAGAAAACTTTTTAGCTTTAGGTTTAAGCTACAGGTGGAAAATAAATTGCTTTTGTAGATTAATCTACTTTGCCTATTTTCTTTATTCGACGATTGCTTTTGGTGTCGTTACCTTAGAAATCTTATTCGACTAAGTGCTTATTTCTTGTTGGCTTTTAATAGTTTTTTTGATTGGTTTACCAAAACAGATAATTGGCTTCTGTATTAAACACAGTTTCTTAAAAATGTTTTTGCTGTTAAGCTACTTTTAGGCTGACTAAATGAGAAACTGTAGAACGGCATATAGTATATTTTCTTATACTTTGAAAATTACGCAACAGTTTCTAAAATTTTTTTTGTTCATAGTACTCAAAAACTTTAAATAGAAAACACCTTTTTGGGTCTGTTAAAGAAAAAACATACCTAAAACTAGATAAACTCTCTTTTAAGTATGACAAACTTTTTCTTTTGATGAGGCACGTTTACAAATTGCTTTATTAGCTCTATAAATGAAGAGGTACCGATATCAGAGTTAATACCGCTTATCTTTAAGTTGACCAGAATTAGTAATTAATGTTAGTTATTTACCACCACTGATTGTTACTTTAGACAGACTTCAAGGTCAGACAGTTTTGTTAATTACAAACTGCTTTATGCTGTTATTATTATCCAGCTTTTTATTGTTGTCCAAATTCATATTTTCGCAAAAAGTTGACCAGGAGATAGTTGTTACAGGATACAACTATGTTATGCATAGGAACGTTAGCTTTGGCTCTCGCTGTTGAAGAATCTAATTTGCATAAACGAATAGCGTTGAAATTTTTGAAAGGACTTGCAGGCAGACCAATATTTTTGATGATCGGCTTAATGAGCATAGCTTCATTTATGTTAGTATTTTTACAACCTTAAATGTTTTTTGACAAATAATCTCGATTACTTTGCTCTTATTATATTTTTCTAAAAACTGGCCTACAAATTAAAAATATTATTAGTTGATGACTTTTATCTGAAAAATCGGTTATCAGTGATAACTTGGCAAAAGACTTTATAAATTAGATTTAATAATTTGCATAACTGTGTGGTATTTTTACAAAACATTGACAAGTGATCACTCTGTTTCAGAAGTTGTTGGGTTTCGGATTTGGCATGCACAGCGTTGATGCTGCCAATTGTGATGGTTATCTGCGAAATTCTTTCCAACGAACGTAGCCAAAAACAGTCGGGAAAACAAATTAAATTTGAGGGTTTAGAAGCAGCTGAATCTAAGTAAGACTTTTTTAAACTTTATTTACTAAAAGAAGTTTACCAAGCAGAGAAGTATTTGGTAATTTTAGCAAAAAACAGCAAGAAGGTTGCAAAATTGAACGCGTTTCTTTTGCTACGATAATATAAGAAATGAACTAATTAGTTTATAAGTTTAAAAAATTTGTAAAATGTAACTTTGACAGAAAAAACCTGAAAGCATCAAGATTATGCAGCATTCTGTTAATGATTTTTTGCTGGGAACTGTGATCAGTTTGTATTATTTTTTGTAAAAATCAGTCTTCTCATCGACAAGAATACAGTGATAATTTTAGAAAATTAGACTGGCAACTGACGCCTAAAGAGCGATTGCACTATGACGTAATGAATGCTGAAGATAAGGCGTTGTGTAAAGCGCTTCTTTTAATATCTGTTCATGGCGCTCTTATCGGCGGAATGACAGTTTTAACAGGGACTGGAACCAATCTTATTTTTCGAGAAAAAATTTATGAGTCAGTTAATGTCTGAAATACTCACGTAACATTACTTTCGGTGAAGATCGTAAAGATCTAAAAGATTAAGAAGGATTAAAAGGGTACATCATACTGTACAGTTTTTAAAATCAGTATTGTTGGTGATGTTTGCTGATCAAAATATTGCAAAATTTTTTGCAGAAGAATGGGTGAAAAAAATTCTAAAATAACATACCTTAGTTGGATTGCTTTATCGCTGCCGCCAACAGTTTTTTACATGTTTGCTTCATTATTATCTATTCAGGTCAGTTGACTGTAAAGATTTTTGGTCTTAAGATTTTAAAAAGTAATGAAAGCTTTTTTTTTATTGACTGGTTTAAATTTACCAAATTTGCTGTCCATTTAACAGAAGAAATATGCCTTTTTGCTCTAAATAAAAAGTCTATTCAAAAATATTTTGTTAATTTAAGGTGCAACAATTATGAATCAAAACTGTTAAGTTTTTTTACATCGGCGGCACTTTGTTGCTATGCACAGTGACTCCACGCTAAATTTCAATCACTGTCACTCTGTTAAGCTACACTTATTTATCAGTTAAAATATTAACATCTATTTTTGTGTTGCTTTAAATAACCAAAAATTTTCAAACGCAGATATTTATATTTGGGCCAAAAAATATGTTTCACGTATTTAAAAAACCAACAAAAGAAGATGAGAAGGTATTTCGTAGACTGACTGAAGATGTACAAAAGCAATATAACAGTTTGGGTCCGATGAGGTGAGTGTTTTGTCGAAGTCAATAGAATTGAACCTCTAAAAAAGTTTTGCTCTCAGAAAATTTATATGATTATAAAAACATACAACATTTCACTAGTTTCAGTTTTGCCGAAAAATCTGTCCTGTTTCTATTCCTGTTTACAACAGCATGTTGGGTGACCAGATCACCTGGTTTTATGCCTGGTTGGGCAGAAATTCTATTTGGCAAAAAAGGGTATGTTAGCGTTTATTTAAATAAAAAAAAAATGAGAAGACTTATACCGTACCTCATTATTCACATTTATTTGACAGTAAGTTTTCAGAGAATTACTGACTGATGCTACAGTAGCTGTATTTGTATCTGCACTGTTGTTTGTATGGCCCAAAAATGGTTTATCATTTGAGAAGGTTTCACCAGAAAACAATTTTTCAGGTATAAACCTGAAAAAAGTGGATAACTTAAGTTTGAAAACAAAAGTTGCTAATTTTAGTAAAATTTTAAAACATTTGCAATTTTTGGCTTCAAGATTCTAAAATTAAATTGTTGGTATAGTAAAAAAAAAAACACGTTACAGAGAAGGCAAAATGCTCGAATAATTCAAAAACTTTACTGTCCTGGACAACAATGCAGCATAAATTTGCATGGAATGTTATACTGATAATCGGTGGAGGTTTTGCCATTTCACATGCTATCAAGGTGAAACGTCTATTAGGTTGCTGATAATGTTTTTTTTTTCTCTCCAGAATCTCTTGACTACAGTCACTTGAAGCTGAAAGCCAGTCTTTAACATTTGATAAAATAACTTAAAATGTTTTGTCTTCTTTTTTTTTTTTTTTAATTTACTTTTGCCTGTTTCTGTCAGTTTTTCATTTCTTTCGTTATACTTTTCGTTATTACAACACTTTTACTAGCATTTTCTTCGAAAATTAAGTTTAATTTTTTGAACATTCATAGCTTGCATCTTTGTTTTAGATGTTACGATAAATGCACATAATATTATTTCACTACTGCATGAACACTTTCTGTCCTACAAAAAAAAAGCTATTAAAATTTGACTTATAGTTAAATCGCCAAAATTATGTGTAGAAGTAGGAAAAAATTAAAGAGAACTTCAAAACTGACAGAAAAAACATATTTTCTTCTTATTACTGTATATTTTTTGTAACTTCTTCTATTTACCAAAAAAGAAAAGGAAAAGAAAAGCAAATTTTAGAGACATCAAATATAAAGGTTTATTTTAGCATTACATTTTTTTGCTTACGATTTAATTTTTGTTTCTCTCATTAAACTGTTGACTATTTGAACTGCAGAAGTCTAAAAAATATTTATAGTTATATCAAACTGTATACAGAACAGATTTTGTAGTTGTCAATTTTTGTATATTTTTATTACGTTGAAATTTTGTTGAAGTTGTCTTCAAATGACAGAAACAGTAAAAACCGTTTTAACAGCACTGATAATTTTAAAAATTTTACATGTTTAATAATTATCAGCTTAGGCAAGCTGCTTAGCGAACATTATAACAGATACAATGCAATCAGCGTTTGCAAACTTTTCGCCAATACTGATCCAAATTTTAATTACAACTGTTGCCACCACTATGACCCAATTGCTTAGTAATGTTGCAACAGCAAGTATCTTCATACCGATGGCAATACATTTGGTGAGTTTCTTGAAGAAATTCCATTCCAAATATCCAAAAAAAAAAAATTTTTTTTGTTAAGCTTTCAGCAATACCTCTTCTACTTTTTTCAGTGTCGTTTAACTTTTTGTAGATAAACGAAAAGAAATTTCTTTATAAAAAATTTTTTTTTACTTATAGTTTTGGTACAGTATCGATGTAAAAATATTATGAAATGCTCTACATTATCGAAATTTAAATAAATATCAGCAAACAAACAAAAAGAAAAAAAAACAACTTTTCTCTTATTATTAATATTAACAAAAATTTTTAGGCAGATGCTATAAAAGTTCATCCATTATATCTGTCCCTTCCAACTGCGGTAGCTCCATCATTTGCATTTCTGTTTGTTCCTTCAACTCCTTCAAATGCTCTGATCTTTGATACGGGATTAATTAAATTTTCTGAATTGGTAAACCATTACTAAATTTTTAGTAATTATAACAACAATTTCCAAAAAAAAAAAAAGGTGGAATAGCACTAGAAAATCAGTTTTACTTTTAAGGTTATAAAATCTATTGGAGCTGGTTTAGTCTGGTGGCCCTATAGTATTTCTTCACTCCAGTGGGAGGGACCTACGAAGAGGAGTGTAATACTTACAGCCAATTAGCATTATGAAGCCACCAGTCTAAACCAGAGCCAAGTCTCTATTTTATTCTTAATTTCTGTTTTGTTTTTCAAATAATATGCAGTTTGTTCCTTCCCTGTAAAAAATATGCTTAAAAACATAAAAAGCTTTTATGGTTTCTTCATTTAGGAAAAAAAAAATTACAAACAAATAATAAAAGGAAAAGAATTTGATTTTATCATTAATTTATAATATCACTAAATCACTGATATTTTATAGGCAACAACTGGTGCTCTGCTATGTGTTTTATGTATTGTAATTGCAACAATTAACATCAACACGTGGGGCTTCTGGTTGTTTGGAATGGATTTAGTGCTTGAAACTGATCATTATTTGAGCACTAACTCAACATGCATAATTTAGTAATGTAGTTGTAACTTTTTATTCATCTTCTTCATTTTTTTTTTTTTGTTTTTGTTCAACTTTATCTGTACTTATTCATGGAGAACTATTGAACACTGTTTTCAGTACAATTCCTTTTTCTGCATCGCTTAAGCCTTATAAAAATGTTAGAAACTATAGCAGGTTAACAAATCTTTTAGTTTTGACGAGTAAAACTATGTTGTGATATTCTGATAACTGAAAATTTCAAAAAAAAAATTTAGACATAATAGCCTCTTAACCAGTTGTTTTTGTACTTTTTCTCTTTTTTTTTCTTCTTTTTTGGTAAGAAATATTACTGTAAGTGCTAAGTTTTTTCTGAAAATTTTCTGATGCAACGACAGTGCAGTGTATACAGTCTATTTGATGCTTAAGAAAGTGGGTATATGTGATGTAAAAATTTTAGTTCAACCTGTACAAATTTAAGTTTTCTTTTGCATTTCTTGAAATATAGTTTTGACTAATTACATTTATCTTTTTGTTCAATTTAATAAGTATTTATAAAAACCATTTAAGTTTGAACGAAAATGGTGATGGAAAGATTGTACAATAATAGTCAGATGTAGATGTGACATTTATCAGCAGATACAGAACAAGCAATTTTGGAATATTCTTTTATCCCATCTGTACAAATTGTTTTTAGATTTTTTCAAATACCGTTTCAACTTAATACAACTTAAATTTGGTAATGACATGAGATTTTGTGCAAAAGTTTATTTTGAATTAAAAGAGATTTGAGCTGCAGTAATCACAGTTTTTTATTATATCAAATTCTATGCAGTAAACTTCTGATTTAGCAGACGAAACGTACCAAATGAAATAAAAGAAGGGGTGAAGAGGTGAGAAGGAAGAAAATCATTGGTTTATTGGAAAATATCAATTTGATAAACGTTTTTTACGGTTTCATTCAGAGCTTATAATAAATCTGTTGTATACATCTTTGCATTCGCATAATATTAGCAGTAATTGAAAAATAAAGTTTTAGATTATACACTGTACAATGTACTTCAACAAACCATATTTCTTAATTTTTAAAACTGTCAACATATTGAAGTTTAGTCTTCCTTGCAGATTAAGTTAAATAAATAGCAGCAACAAGAAAAAATAAGAATTTTTTTTTTTTTTTGCAATCAACTAAACATAATAGTCAAATAGAAAAAGTGACAACTGTACGGTTATGAGCAAAGATCCAAGTTATATGCTAATTTTACTATTTTAGCTGAAAAGAGCAGTTTTTTGATGTTATCAAATTGTGCTAAAACTGCTAAAAACTGTGACCAAATTCAGTTGTTATGTGTAGGCAAAATCTTTAGCCAATTTTTTTTTTCTCCTCTATTTAACCAAATACTATAACCGATGTGAAAGAGCTGTTCAGTTGAAGTCGTTTTTGGTGTCGTTTTTGATAGGAAAATTGGATGTCTATTGAAAGACAACGGGGTGATTGGTTTTGCTGTGGTAAAAAAGTCATTGTTAAGTACCCCGTAGCCAACAGTTGGCTGCTTGGCTGCTCCTCAAATTCAAAGGTTGTTAAAGTTGTTCAATTCAATTTTGCTTTCTTTTCTTTTGTCCAAATTTTTGCAATAGAAAAATCTTCTTTTGTTTTGCACAAAATTTCTGCTAAATCTTTCACATCCAAAATTTATGGCATTACTTTAAAGTGATTATGCATCAGTTTTGTTTCATTTTATTTTGCTTTTATTTCATCATAATTTAAGCAAAAAAAAGAAACGTTATCGCGGTTGATGATTTCAGAGTGGTTGCAGTTGCAGTTTTCTGAGTGTACTGTAATCATTTAAAAAGTAGTTTTGATGAATTTGAAACTTACTTAAGAACATTTAAATTAAAAAATTTTCTGTATTCTTAAAAAAATTTACATATATCAAGCAATATGCAATTGTGTAAAAATTAATCATAGTCGTTGGCATATATTTTTGTAATCAAAACACTATCTGTGACTCTGATAACAGTTCTTAATCTTTTTTTGACAATCGTTGAACTGCTATTTTACTGTAGGGTAAAAAATATACCTTCATGAAAAATTAAAACTGCAGCAGCACTTTTAGATTCACCTACAAATCATTAAATAGTATTTAAGCATTTTTAATAAGTTTTTTAAAGTTTTATCAAGAAAAAAAAATTTTTTTTTTTGAAGCTTTTGGAAGTTGTATAAATAATAGAAAAAAAAAAATACAGTGTCAATATAGAATTTACAGAAAATTCTACTGTTTAGGCGCTGTCTACCAGAACCAACAAATGGTGAAAGACTATGAACTTAAGAAAAGTTTGTCTTTTTTAAATTTGTTAAAAAATTTGATAACTTTTTAACAGCAATACATTTACTATCAGTCAAACGTTGTTTACGATAGAACAGCAAACACATATTTTGCAATTATGTAGAGAGAGAAAAAAAAAAATAAA